CTTACTTTGTGACTATGTGTGTGTGCATACAAGAATGATGGCAAACAAAGGCTGTGGTTTGGTCTCACTTGTGATTCCCACCTGCAATGCTGCGATGCTATCCGTCAAGAGATTACTTTGGGCAATGTCGTCGATGAGAGATTACTCCAAGCGATGCCAACTGTTGGGAGATTACTTCGGTCGATGATATGATTCTCTACTAGCTCCTTCGATGCTAGGCATGATTTGATTCTCCGCCTGTTACTTAGGCATGGGTGTGACTTGTGCTCCGTTAGTGGCTCTGCCCTGTGTGTGATACTCTATGATATAGAGTTATTTGAGTTTAATTTTGAAAGTAATTTAACTTAATTCTTGTAATAATGCATAGAAAAGCACAAAGATTTGAAAGTAATTTTAGTTTTATTTGAGTTTTTAATGTTTATACTTTATTCAATGATGATGTGTGACTTGATAGGAAACTAATTATTAATCTAAGATTATGATTGAACTTAATATGTAGTATGATTTATTTATCTTTATTTTGCTTATGTTCGATAGATCTAAGATGTTTATTTCATTATGTTCTTAATACTTTTAATTGCTTGATCACCGATTAGATTGAATTGGAAACCTAAGTTAAACCTTAACGAAGGAGATTTAGGTAAACCTTGAATAGAATAGCGTATGATTGAATGTACTTAGTTGATTAGCTGGTTTAATTTACATATAGGGTAGACAGACACCTATAAGCCATACATAGCCAAAATTAGAGCACAAAGTTAATGAACTTTTTCCAATTTAATTTGCATAGACATATAGTAAATTAATTAGGATAGGTATCTTTATGAGAAACTTGACAGAGACTTGTAAATAATTTAGGACTCTAGGTTAGTAATTTAATCCATTAAACTAAGTTAAGAGAGAAAGACAATAATCAGATGAAGTATTGAGGGATATCATAATTTTAGGTCTGGTAGTTAAGTGAGTTTTATAAAACAAATTTACTATTTAATTTTAGTTTCAGTTTATTAGTTTAATTTTTCTTTTTAATAATTTTAAATTTAATTATTTGGATAAGATTAAGGTGTTATAATTTTAGTAGTTAATAGTAATTAGTAATTCAATTCTCCGTGAGATCAACACTTTACTTATTATTATATTATTTTTGCGATACGTACACTTGTGTGGGTAAAAAATTGAACAATAGCGTGATTTATTTTTTTGTCGGTTAACCAACGTGTGTGATTTGACTATGTCTAAGGAAGGACCGCTTATTGATGTGATTGATTATGATGATATAATATATAAATATGTGGGTATTGATATATAACTGAAATGCGGAGGTCATTGTATAATTTAAATGTGGTTGACATTTGATGAAAAGCTTCGAGAAAAGCAAATCATACATATTGAGTTTGAGGCTGTGCCCGACAATTGGAGTGTGCTTATAGAGTCTACTTAATGATGATTTATGATAGTAAGCTTTGTTTATTATGCTGTATTTTGGAGACACGAGTTTGATCAATTAATGAATATGAGTGTGCCGTTGAGATGTGATTCTGGCAAGCATGGTCTGAGGTGCATGTAAAATATTAGAATGATCCTCGTACTTGTATTTTGAAGATATTTGATAAATTACTATGTATGTTATATAATAAATGTGTCTCCATGTTATGAATATCCACCTATACTTTATTATGTTGTGTTAGCATCCCCATCTAGTTGAGCATTAGATGACTCACGTTCTTTGTGTACTATGTTTAGATAAGTGATATATACATGGCTTAGCATCATCTTTTGACTGAACTAATTTGGCATCCGATAGGTTTTCCACTCGATGGTTCGCTCCACTAAGTCCGATCCACACTAGCTCATTTGAAATTTTAAGGTTTAGCAAATAATGTATTTCAAATATTGTAGGCATTGAGTGCTATGTGATATTGTGTACAAAAGGTTGCATGATATGAACCTGATGATTGGCTTATGTGTGGCCTTATGAATATTGTACTAATGAGTTTATGAAATGAAATGGATTATGTATTTTGCTTATGATACCATGGACTGAATATTGGACACGTGAATTCTAAGGCTTGCTTAGGTTTCGCAAGCTTCACCTATCGAACTCATGTGCCCATCATAGACCCCCAAGTTTAGGTCATGACAACACCAATGAATGCACAGTATCTAACGACACTTTTATGGCCATGCGTCTATTGGAATGAGCCTTGCAGCCAATCAGATTGATCAAGGCTTAAATTCTATCATGCAATCATATCATTCATGTCAAATGATTTGAAGTTTTCTTTCATCAATAAAACTATATTATATGAAGTCCTTGAGATTAACCTGCCTTGCAAAGGAAATGTAAAAGGTTACAATTATAAGATCCTTATTCATCAAAGTATAATCTCTAAATTGTTCCTAGTCGATGTTTCATTGAGACTAGACATCAATGATGGTTGAAGACTGGTACATTCTATGTTCCTTACTTCAAAAATAAGCAATCAATCTCATAGGTTGAAGTATAGATATACTTGAAACTAGAATGTAAGTGTTTTTTCTAGGAACAAGTTCACCGGACATGACCCAACATAAGTATTCCATTTGGTATTTCACTCTAGCGTCAATGGAGGATGTCCTCATGTGACAATCATGCAAATGATCCTTAGACTTAAGACACCAGCTTATCTTATATGTGGAGTATTATGCTTTAAATTTATCTTTTCGAGTCTTAACCAAAGATGCCTAAAATGGATGAACGTTGGGTATAACATGAAGCACATGAAGGCAAATCAATGGTCAACATAAGATTCATCACTCTGAATAATTAAAGAGATGTATCTCAATTGTTCATACCTTAAGTTGGATTATGTGAATACTCTGGCCAAAGCACAATAGGTTTTAGGAAATGAATTTCCTATAATCCCTGATAGCTAATTATGCTATGACTAAAATGGAAGATTTAGGAGTTAACATTGCACCATGCTCCTAAGCATTCTAAGATAAATAATGAAAAGATTGAATTGCACTGAGAGACTAATCACTAAAAAGTTGAGTCAAACCATCTTGACTCTTTTAACATTTAGGTGGTCATGATAGATTGCTAGATCCCGCTCATGATCTAAAGTAGTAAAATGGTTGATGTAAGTAATGATAAATTCAAAGTAAGTTTGAATTTATCTAATCTTAAATTTAATTTATGGATTACATTTTAAGGTCATTGCAAACATGTTGGAAACCTAATAAGTTATACACAAAAGGTGAATATTGAGATTAAATTGGAAAAAGTGATTAAGTTGGAATTAATCAAAATTAGAAGTTATAAAATTTTATTGAACTTAATTAAAAGGTTTAATTAACTACTAGGACCAATTAGCAATTACATGGAAAAGTAATTAAAGCTAAAATTGGTCTATGATATAAATACCTAGCTTAAGCTACTTTTTTACTAACCTAACCACCACTCAACACTAGTGACTAATGTTGTCGCCCCTTATAAGTGTGTGAAGAGAAAAATCTATTTTCTTTTGTTCTTTTGGCTAGGGTGAAAGGAAGGAAATAGTGTTTTAGAACACATCTTTGCTAGCACATTGAAGGCTTTGAAATCCCACCCTCTTGTAGGGATTTCTCCATTCATTGTGTGGACTTTCACTAAAGGCTGCATAAGAATATTTTAAATAACTTTGATTTGCGACAACCAAGCTTAATGTGAGGTCTCTTGGAATGGCTGTTTTGGTGGAGCTTGTACAAGGAATTAAGCTTTCCTTTGTACCCAAGGTAATGACCAGATCACAAGTGTTTTGCTGTACTACGTACCATCCAAAAACCATGAAAGGGGTCTTGGGTGGAAAGGTCAATTTTAATTGTTTTTTCATTGCGTTAATAATTTTGGTTTTATTTTTGTTATTTGCATTTTGATGCATGTTGGGCCTTTCCCATTAGTGTTAGTATCTTTTTTTCATGAGTGCTTTTAAAGTCAGGCTATTCAGCTCATAGAAGTGGTCACACTTCACACTCACATAAGTAGATCTCATGAAGAATATCTCATAACTAAACTACTCTAAAAAATATATATTATAAGCCTATTAAAAGTATAATACTTATCATGTCCTTACTATTATGATTACTTACCACTTGACCTAGAATGAAATATTATGTATCATATTATAGTACTAGCAGCCACATACAAATAATACACTATGAAAAATTGAATTCAAGACTAAATGTTATACGAAACATTAAGTTGAAGTTCCACCATGATTGACTCTAACTTGTGAACTTGAGCCCCATCCTTTTTTAGGTCTTATTTACAAGATGTCCAATATGTGTTACTATTGAAAATGTCCAACATGACACATATATAACAATATGTTTTGGACGTTTTATCTAATTATTATCATATCATTGTGTCTAATCAATCAATCTTCTTGCTATTCTTGGTAGAAAGTCGAACAATTCTCAAATTAAGGTTGCTTTTGGGCCTGAAATGCAAATGCGCAAGTAACCCACTTTTGGGCCATATTTTTTGTTCCTTCTGTGAAATGGGGAGTCCAACAACACCAACAACTGAGAGCCATAGCCCAAATTAATGGACTCAAAAGGCCCATTTTTAGGCTTGCTCTAACATGAAGAAATGATTTCCAAGCCCAAGTAGCAATACATATTTTTAAAAATACTATTAAAATTTGAAGTACGTAACATATAATTATTTTTAATGTTTATATTATTAATTAAAAATCACATTTTGACCACAACTTAATGTAGGGTGTTCTAAGAAATATATATAAAGTCAATTGGTATTAAAAAATTAAAAAGATTCTTATAATTAATGTTAAATAAGAGCTATCAAATTTATGAATAAAAAATTATTGATTTCAGGATCCTCTTCCTAGCTTATTGCAATTCAATAAACATATATCTTAGTTAATAAAAGTAAATAAATAAATAAACTAGTAGTAATGAACAAATACGTAAGTGAAAAATAAACTATATAAAGATTTCCACTGACTTCTTACCATGTCTGCAAAGAATAACGATAAAACCGAAGCTTCCCTGCTCCAGCCGCCTTCAGCAATACCTAGCCTTAGTTTTTCTGTTCTTTGTTTTGAGAAAAGAAAAGGAAAGCAAGAGAAAGAAAATGGGTTCTTTCTTTTCAAGCTTGTTAGGTTCGCCATCAGAAGATTCATCTTCAAATCCATCTTCATCTGAGCCTTCAAGGGTCTTAACCTTCCATTCATCTCCCAGATGGCAGCTTCACTTCAACTCTGTCAAAGAAACCCCAAAGCTTGTACCTTTCTCTCAACCCAAACCCAAAATTTTGCCTTTTTTTTATCCATTTATTTTTAGTTTTGATGGTTCTTGTGATTATTATACAAAAGATCTGACTCTGGGTTTTTGTTTCTTTTTCTTTTCATATACATTAAAAAACAATGAGAGCAGATAGTTATAGATTTCTCAGCTTCCTGGTGTGGGCCTTGCAAGTTCATAGAACCTGCTGTACATGGCATGGCTGCAAAGTTCACTGAAGTTGATTTTGTTAAAATTGATGTTGATGAACTGCCTGTATGTTTTCGATCTTTTCTGCACATAGTTTTGAAATAGTCTGTCAGGGTGCTTTAGTATACAGGATGATAAATAGAACATGACAGAATATGAAGATTTCAATAATTTCTCAGGGTACTCTCTCCTTTTCTGGACATAATATGTAAGTAAATTGTTAGGAGTGCATTTAGTGTACGGGATAACGGAAAAGATTTGATGAATTTTTTGATAACTTGTTATGCCTTTGCTACTATATCATTCTGTGTCCTAAATGCACCCTAAAAAATGAGTTGAGTTGGGACGAAATAACAGTCTGTAATATATATTTGGAGAGGTTGTAGAGGATTTTATTAATTTTGCCCTTGGTTTTTGTTGTCTCTTCTTTTGTTTTTTGCTTGTTGGTGGGTTTCTAGGATGTGGCGCAGGAATTTGGGGTGCAGGCAATGCCAACATTTGTGTTGGTGAAGAAAGGCAAGGAAGTGGATAGGGTGGTCGGAGCCCAAAAGAATAACCTTGAGAAGAAGGTTGAGAAGCATAGGACTCTCCAGGCTGCTACTTGACGATCCCTTCAGTTTGTTTATTTCCTTTAATAATGTCTAATGTGGTTTTCTGAAATTGATTGTGGTAAACAATGTTTCAACCCTTTATTGTGGGACAATGATGATTTCATATGTGCGATTGATACAATGGTCAGATGCTTTCTTTTACATTCATTTCTTTTTGTTCTGTTGCTTTCTGCTTTTCCTCGATAGGATTAGAGAGAGAGAGGCAGCATTAAAATGAAATTATATATGGAAAGGAGGTAGAGAGAAGGGGACCAAGATTACACTGAATCCATAGGAAACAAGAGTCTTTCAGGAAGATGATGGATTTAAGCATATGAAAAGCAGTTGGAATATTTTGGATGACAAATTACAGGGCCTTATTACTCAGAGCAATAGCAGCAGCCGCAGCAGTATATGTACAGCATGTAGGTGCAAAATGTTGATATCTTCTTTAGACGGTGTATGCTTGCTGAATCGTGTCTATGTCAAGACCCTTCAATCTAACTACCGATTCGACATGCCCTTTCAGCGTAGTCAGTTCTCTCAGCCTGCAAAAGAAAATGCAAATATTTAGCATGATCACACGCTACCGTTACCCCTCCAGCAATAACCATTTCGGAAATACATTTTGTTTGCTATATTCATGTCTTTGCTCTACTCCAAAAAGGATCAAAACATCAACTGTGATCAGCCATTCATTCAGATGAAAATAACATGTATAGCATGCTCTTGCATTTTGGTTTATATTCTAATGAAAGCATTGTCAATTTCTATTTGAAAATTTAAAACACGAAAAAAATTAAACCCATCCATGGAATTGGCAGGCATTTTATATGCCATTATGCAGCATCCACCTTCTAATCACCTGGATAGAAACCAGAAACTTACGCTTAATTAGACCCTAGAGGTAACTCTTGTCCATCTAGTTAAATATCTCTGTTGTGAGCATATAAGCAGAGGGAAAGGGAAAACAATGAATATGCTGCCAGCAAGATTTAGTGTTAGCTTGTTATTAATGGATGCATACCTCGCAATTTCAGCTCGCCTTTTTGCTTCTTCAGCCATCTGATTAAGTTCTGTGAAACTGGTGCGGTCGCCGAACATCTTGGTATCAGGTGCCTGCAGCCCATGGAGGGTCCTCTGGGCATGTGCCCATTTTAGTTCACGTTCTTCCTTCCCAAAGTCTTTCTTCCTCGTGAAAGCAATCTGCAAAACAATCAACCAAATGAAACATTCAGCAAGTTGCTCCGCGCAACAACAAAAGTTGCTCTACCAGTTGAAAATCGTACCCTTTGTTCAATAACAAGATCCCAAGCCTTCCCGCTCAGGGCATATCGTATGAAGAACTTGATAAAGTCGAGTGGGATATAGAAGATAAGGTTGTAAAGCCAAATCACACCTGCCCAACCCCATCCAATTCCTTCAATGGCAGCAAAGCTCCAGTTTGCATACACAGCTATCAGTGTAGCAATCTGTTCATGAGAGAAACCAGACAAATCAAGAATAGGTATGTCTGTTTTACATAACTCATGTTTGCAAGCAAAAAAAAGCAGCAGTTTCACTAACCAGCTGCGCAACTACAAACGCTGTTACAAGTAACAGGCCAGGACGCTCAACAAAAGACCAACTCCTTGCTCTTGTTACAAATATGAGCGCCTGACTGATAATGCTCACTTGCAGATATATTGCAGAAGCAAGCTTTCTTATGTCATCATGGTCCTTTTGCTTAAGGCTTGAAACCCCAAATGTGCGCTGAATAACACAGCATCACGCTAAGTAACTGAGTATGGCATGATTAAAGTAATACATCATATCGAACAGACAGCCGAATGGCCCAAAGCAACAACAAAAGAGAAATGAAGGGGTTCCTCTGATCGTTGATTTTGCTAGAAAGCAAAAATCATAATTGATCAACAACGAACAAATGACTAAATGTAACTCCAATTCTAGCATAATTGTTCTGTGTGAAAGTAGATGAATATTGATTTGGTTACTTTCAATGTCATAAAACTATCATCTTACGGGAAAGAAGTCTGTCTCGTATGCTGCCCAAAAGAAAATGACAGTCATCATGGCTAAGTAACCACCAAGAATGACTCCAGTAGCAAAGATTTCTGCCAATTTCCAGCTGTCTGGCTGAGGAGATGGCTTCACCCTATCCTTGGATATCGTCATAATGGTACCTGACAGACCAATGATTTGTATTTTAAGCAAGCATACTAAATAGAATCAAGGACTGCACTTTCAGGGTAACGAAGACAAGCATTACAAACCATCATTGAGGATAGCAATAATCAGCACCATGAAGGGGGGAAAATCAAACTGCCATATCAAGGCCAGTAACATGAAACCAAGCTGCCAAGCACGAGGTCAAATGAACGTATAGTACCAAGTCAGAATCAAGCTATTTTTGAGAGGAAACCACCATCATATTACCACAGCAGTTAAACTACATAAAATTGTCAGAATGCAACATTTCAAAGCCCATGCCAAAGAACTTACAACAATACGGATTGTAATGGAAACCGCATATATCTGCAAAGAAGAAAGAAATCAAATAACTTCAAATTAAACAACAATGTTGATCAATATGGTTAATTGTGAAAGGAGGAGATAATAACGCCAGAAAGAACCATAACCATAACTTACCTAGTAAAACTCATATTTTGTTTATATATTTTTTAAGTTAAATGAGTAAAGCTGACAAATTAGTATGTTAAGGACTTGAGTTAGGAGAACTGCCTGGCTCACTCCAAATGTTGCCATTACATATCGTGGCTATAGTCTAGACTCACCGTGTAATTTTTCATCCTTTGGAATATTGCACGACTAGTTAGTACAGCACTGATTATAACACTAAGACCTGGTTCTGTCAAGACAATGTCCGAAGCACTTCGGGCTGCATCAGTTGCATCAGCCACAGCTATGCCTATGTCAGCCTTCTTAAGAGCAGGAGCATCATTGACCCCATCACCAGTCATTCCGCATATATGTTTCCTGGCTTGCAAGCGCTTCACGATCTCATACTTGTGCTCTGCACCAGCAATTAAATGAAAGTAGTACAAGCAAAGACAACATAAGAAGAATATTCTAACACCAAAATTAAGGACGACCCAGAACGTGTTGGGAAATCAAGCACATCCCCAGAACGGGTAATGACATAACCGACAGCCTCGCCAAAGATGGCATGGGAAGATCAGAGGATTTATTGTATATTTCTCCTGAATGATGCCTACTATCTGTGACTGTGGCTTATGATCTCCTGTTTCCGCCAGCAAGGAACGGAAACAGGAGTTTTTTGCTGTTTCCACTAATTCTGATCAGTTTTAAGATTTTGGATGATTGTAAATTGAAGTGTGACTGTTCATGAAACCATATGCTGGTTTTGTCCTTGCCTTGGCTGTTTTTGAAGCCAGTTTAGTAACTGATTGCTATCTCAAATCAGATTCTTTTGTAAATTACACGGACACTCTGTTTTTGATCAATGAAAATCCTTGCTTATTCAAAAAAAAAAAAAAATTAAGGACGACCTTATCATAAATTGCATCCAAACATCATGTCAGTCATTGACCACTGCCCTCATTGTCTAATGGCATCTGGCAGTGGCACCAGAGAGGATCAAGTCTCTAAGCATCAGCTTTAAGTGTGTGTTTGAGTTCTTAGACATGGCTTGGGGATGTTTTTGCAAGGAAAATTTATTTCAAGATGGAAAAGGAAAAAGTAAAGATACCTGGGAAAACACCAGCAAAGCCATCAGCTTTCTCAATCAACTCATCAACTGGCAAAGCAGCAATAGACTCATCTTTGTTTTGTCCTAACAAGGCTGATGAAGGATACATGTTGGTTCCCATTCCCAGGCGGCGTCCTGTTTCTTTTCCTATTGCAAGTTGATCGCCTAATGATTATAAGAAAGATCAAGAATAGGAGCATTGATCAGAATAAGGAGAAATGTTCAAACAAAAACAAGTATATTCATTTACCAAGTGGATTGACATAGTTTGATGCAGTATCAATATAAGGATATGCACCTGTGATCATTTTCACGTTCACTCCAAGATTCAGTGCCCTTCGTATTGTCTCCGCACTGTCATGTCTAGGTGGATCAAACAAAGGCATTAGACCAATAAATTGCCATGGACCTCCTGAGCTTTCCTTTCTTCCATCAGGAACTTCCTGTGCATTGATTGATATAGCCAAGAACATTATCAATTTCATTGTAAAATGTAACAGGGATAAAATCACCTAATTATAGGACAAAGAAACAAGACTACATAATATATAAGTCATCACCTGATATGCTACTGCAAGCGATCGTAATCCACGCTCTGCAAACTTATCAATTACTGCATGAACTCTACGCTCCAACTCTGATTTATTGTGTGCAAGATTCAAAATCTAATAATCAAACAAAAGGAATGAATTACTTCAAATGGCATTAACAGAACAGTCAAACTACATAAAGTCTACTGATGAGCCTACCTGTTCAGGTGCACCTTTGCTGACCCGGTGCATTCTACCTTGATTGTCAATATATGTCAGAGCCGTTCGCTTATCAGTTGGATTGAAGGGAAGGAAGTGAACTTCTTGAATACCTGCTCTTGCCTAGGAAGTTTTTTCAGGGATAAGCAAAGAAACCAAAGTAAATCAAAATAGTAAGATTTAATTAAGCTCTCCTAATTGTTACCTCCTGTCTAGAATAAGCAGCAAGCATAAAAGGAGCATAACATCAATAAGCATACCTCCTTTGGATCAGCCAGCATCCCCACTATAGCAGTGTCTATTGCATCCTGGTTTTCCAGCCGAGATGCACGAGCTGCCATCAGAACAACAGTATCTGGATCTACTCCTTTTGCAAATATCTATGCCACAACATCCAGATAAAAAATGTTGGACCGCACAATAAAATCAGATTGCTAGAACAGAGAAAATATGAAGCAATTGCCAACCAACCTCAATAAGATTTTTGTCAACTGTCAACTTGTTCAAGGTCAAAGTTCCAGTTTTGTCACTGCAGAGGACATCCATGCCTGCCATTTCTTCTATTGCTGTCATTCGTTTGGTGATAGCTCCCTGCAACGACATATATACGTCAGCACAATTAAGCAATGATCATCTTAAGAAACAAACTCACAAGAGCAATTAGAACAAACCTGCAGGGATAA